CCATCTCCCATCCCTCATCCCAGCACATGGTGGGAGTTTAATAAAAGATGGGGTGGGAAAAGCAACACAAAGACATGTTATCAGAATGAGAAATGCTGGTAAAACTACAAGTCTACACACTGCAGGTACATTATAAAAACAATGTCTCCCTTTTGCGAGAAATTTCAGGATTTTCCATGATATTTCTAGTTGCAAATGTATTCACAAAACAACAGATCTGCACAGATAGGAGAAATACACCAGCGTAATTAAAATTATACATTAAAATTCATTTTAACCATCCCTTAAAACTTAAATGTCATTAAAACATTACAAATATTACATCTGCATGGTACCTTTTTTAATTACACCAATCATAGCTTTGAGAAAATTAAAAGATGAGATTTAGGCTGCTGGGATTTGGGCTACGGTAGTAGGAAGTCAGCCACACACTTAAAAATGTGAATTTTAATTACTATGTCTACGTTTTTGTTTGTTTGTTTGCCCAAATACATCATGTTTTGAGGGCCAAAGTCTTATTCAAAGATTCCCTTCCCATCGATTTCTCATGTCTGAAGCCCAGAGGAAAATCATGATACTATTTGTATTCCCATCCCTATTTTCATAGAGAAATTTAGTTCTAACACGTGAAGAACGAGATCCCAGCTTGATAGATGACTCGGTTTTAAAACTATCGTTAACACCCGATGCTGTCCCGATTTTTGTGAAAAGAAATAAACAAAACGTGTCTGAACATCACTGATAAGACAAAGGTGCACTGCCAGCCACTGGCTAACTTATCTGATAAGCCCAGGGCAACCCTGAGGTAACCTGCAGACTGTTGTTATTCTGTACTGTATAAATTATTTATTTCCGAGGATATATTCAGAAATTTCCCTCCCTTCTGGCGCAGCCTTCCAAAAACGCCTCGCTGGTCAAAAATTGGTCTCTCTTCATTCACTACTTGCTCCGCACCTGGGTGAGCACCAGTTCCCAAAACTCACACGTGAGCTCCACTGCTCTGTGGGATTTCTCACTCTCACTCAGGACAAAAGAAAATACGAGACACATTTTCAAAATCTGCCGTGTCACAGTCTCCCATGAGCAGGATTAGGAATAGCTAATGATCCAAAAACAACACAAAACAACAACAAAAAAAGCCATAAATATTTAGGCACACACAAATCTCTTGTTGAAGTTCAAGGGACAGAGTTAGGTAAACACTCTCTACCCGGCCAGCATATCTGGCGGGAATGTTCTCATCCCAATCATTTAGTCGACAAATAATCAAATCTGTCCCTGATTTCTGACTCGCTTCTACAGGGTATTACCACCTCCAGGAATCATGGCTCCGATGGAAGGTTCTGATCTCAGGTCTCTCCTCAAATTTCTCAGCATCAGACTCAATCGGAAAAACAATTAAGTTCTAACCCAATGGTTCAGGTTTCTGAATCTTACAAAACCATCACCGTCTTACAGAAAAAGCAATCAAACATGCATAATCTGGATTAAAAAGTTCACAGGGATAAATGTAATCACATTATTTCTATATCTATTTGATTTTCACTGTCCCCAAAACGCATGACCACAGGCATCTCTTTAGTAAGGAAAAACAAAACAAACAAACAAATCACACATGCCGGCCTTAATTTGAATATTCTGATAAGTGGAAAATGTAACCCCGCCCCCCTTCATGAAGGTCTCTAAGCTTTGGATTTCGGTTTGCATTCCATTTGTTTGTACAGGAATCCTGCCAAGTTCTTTCTAGCTCAAGAACGCTAGACGTAAAGGATGTGTAGATTGGGAAGAACCACATCTGCTATGGTCACACCAAAGGTAACTTCATGACAAGGGAATCCCCGGTCCTTTTTAAAACCCAACTGTTTCAATTAAACTCACCTGTTCCATTTGGAAAGACTCAAGTTCTGGGAGCTTTTCTAAGCACAGGAGTTGCTGCTGGAGTCAGAGTGCGCTCACCCAAAAAAATCTGACGTGAGACAGTATGTTTGCCCGCACCACCCCCCCCCCCCCGGGATGTCAGCAGCAGGTTTTGCCGTTGACACCAGAAACCGAGGCAACAAGGAAAGCTTCTACTAGCACGATGCGGAAAGGGGCCGACACAACTCTTGAGGGGAGCTCAGGAGCTGGACGCAAGGTCTGAAAACCATTCCCGTCTCGGATCCCCGTGTATTGGGGAAGGTGCTCCTGTTCACACACCTAACATTCATGATACCTGCATGTTTTCCCGGACTCGTTAAAACTCTTAAATGTATTAAGGACTGAGTCCAAGTGGGTAAAATTTCTTGTAAAAAACTAACACCCACCCCCTCCCAATAAAAAGGCATAGAAAACCCAGCTCTACTTAAGCGAAGCCAGGAGGTGAGTGAAGCTGACTGTCATTTTGACCTTGCTTTGCTTTAACTCAGGAGCCTGTTTAGAAATGTAACAAGCAACCCTCTTCATTCGGCTCAGCTAGCAGAGCTAATAGGCTTCTAATTAATTTCCAGAAGATTGCTGTTATAACTAACAGGTTTTAAACATTTGGTTGATTGGGGAAAATGAATTGAATATAATGTATTTGATTTGGAAAATTAGTTTTCATTCTATGTGCTTACCATAATAGTGTTTATTTTAAGTTTACATGATTCCATGAAGAGTCCCAGAACACCACCGGGTTGCTTTTAGCCTTAACAGGGTCCTATCCAACTTCAAAAAAAAAAAAAAAAAAATCAATTTACATTTTGATTTTTGTTGTCCTTTATTTGAGGACAGGTTAAATTCATTTTTGTGGCTTTAATAAAAATCTTCGTTCTAATATAGCCAAGAGGACCAAATACTTCAAAATGATCCCAGTGATACCTCCGGCAAAAGCCTGCTCATTGCATGCAAATCCTCCGGGGAAAGGCTTCTACACACCAAGTAAGATGAACCAGTTACGGCATTGTTTATGAAGTTTCCCTTGATTCCTCCTGACAACCATTTAAACAACGACTGTTGGGAAGTGTCCCTCAAAGAACCAACAACAATGGCAAGGATCAGAGCTTTTCTATGTAGCTAATACTATTTTTAAAAGGAGAAAATATTTCTTCCTGGAGGGATTAGGAGAAGCCTTATTAAAGACACCTGCAAACAAAACAAGCGACAATAGATCTTTATCATAATTGATGACTGAGTTATCCTTGAGACAAAACTCCTTTCTTGGAGACAATAACTTCGAGATTTACCTCGGCTATTAGAGTCAAGACATCAGCTAATTGGGACTACCGGTGGTAAGTCTCACCAAGATTAAGTGAGCAGGTAATAAAAAGGCCCTTGTTTCTCAGTGAAAGAGAAGTACAGAGAGACTAGAATTTTCTCTCGGGCAGCTGAGAATGTTTTAGAATGAACTCAGGCAGCATCTATCCCTGTGCCTCCATCCATCATGCAAAAGTAGGTGGGTAGATTCTGATTAGGAGGGCTGACTATGTGCCAAGCACACAGTGGGCCAGCCAGCTTTGGAAACTCAACCTCTGCCTAATTTGCACTTGGCAAGAAAAAGAACCTTCCCACAAGTCTTCGCAATGTCATTAACCGTCAACTGGGAAAATGTGATCCTGTTTTAGCAAAGAATTAAAATTAAGTTTGCAGAGGAGGGACAGAAAAGCAGAGATCTTTGCAATAAAAGCACTCTGCCTCCGAGTCTCCATTTGGTTCACGTTGGTAACAGTGCACGCCTTCACCCGTGGGCCACACTGTCTGCAGTCACATACTCACGGCTGCATTTCTGAGTGACTCACAGAAATGCCTGTGGTCATTTCAGGCTTATTAGTGACTTTTATAACATAGCTAATTTTCCAAATTAAGTAATTCTGGCTCTTTTTACAACAACAGCCCCAGAAAAGTTCCTACGTTTTGATTTGAACTACATCTGGGCATTGAACAAAAGTGGGGGAGGGCGGGGAGCGACCATCAGGATGAGGCCATGATTGCAGACCCCAGTGGCAGCATTTCGACATCCTGGCCTTACAAGGAGTTCGTGATTACTCAGGGGGAGTGAAACACCAATTCAAGAAGTGTTAGCAACGGCAGCGGTGAGCTTAGAATATGTACAGCTGTTGATGAATGCTTGTCATTTAAAAAAAAAAAAAAAAGCCCACTTGGAAATGAAGAAGAAAGGCCTCCAGCCTGAACCGCTGAAAAGTAGACAGAATTAAACAGCAGGAAAATCTTCCCACGTGTGCAGCAATACTGAGTGAGCAGATGAGGCATGAGATGACCCAATATCGTTCCTCAGAACTTCAAGTTCACAGACAAAACAAATGCTCTATGGAAGGTACTTGTGGGATTGTTGGGTTTCACACACACACACACACACACACACACACACACACACACACACATCCTTAAGACTTAGAGCCATCAACGTGTGAAGAAAAGCTGCCTAGAAAAACAAAAAAGACATTTTCAGAGATGACTTTGATCCTGTACTCAAATTATTGGCTTAAATGTACTTGCCTCTAAAGGCTTTGTATCTGCAGTAACCGCTCCCTATTGTCCTTGCTAACAAAGTATTATTTTCACCTTATTATTACTAATCTTTTCTTTGTTAGTAACCCCGCCTGGTTTTATCCCCCCAAATGGTGCAGTAAATATTTGTCCTTTGTGGTAATACAATGCATAATTTAGTTAATCTGAGCTATCTTTCTGTGAGAGGTGATTGTTTCTATATTATGAAATGTGCTCACGGTAAAGGGACGTTCGTGCCAGATACCTGGCAGGCAGATAGAGAAGCACTTACCAAGCATGTAGCTGCTTCGAACCAACCTTGACAAGACTGTGTAGCCACTCCTACACATGAGGTATTACTCATGTTAACTTAGTCTCCGAATCAGAACCACACCTTTCTCTTACAAACACGGCCTTTACTAAGATAACATGACATCGTCAGGCCAAGAGGCCCACCCTCGGCCCCCATGGAAAGGACTTGAAAGAACAGGAACTACAGTTTTCCATTCGAGAACTTGGCATCGCTGTGACCTTACCTGGAGGAAATCTAGAAACGTCAGGGGTAGCAAGTCATCCATGTGCCCAATGTCTTTGGAGAAACGATTTAAAATTCTTCCTGCAAGAACAGGATATGAGAAATTACTCATTTCCCAAGATAGGCCCTTTAAGAGAAACAGTTCACGGACAAATCAAAACAATATTTTAAATGCATATGTATTTAATCTATTACACATTCATACAAAATAAGCCCATGTCAGTGGTAAAGAAAAAGAAAATGGGATGATAACTAAAGAGAAACAAAAACACCACCAAAGGGTGGTGGGCAAGGAGCTCAAATTCGGTCCTGATTTTTAATAAAATGGAGGGGGAAAGACGTCTTCTGGCAGTATCAGGAAGGGCTGGTGGATTTTAGAATGTTCTCTCCTTTCCTATGCCTTCTCAGGTGCCCACCTGCCCAGAGGCTGAGTTGGTAAACAAACAAATACAAAATACATAAATTGATCACAATTGTTATACGAATTTTGCTTTGGTTATCAGAATTTTACTATGTGGTACTTATTAAATAAATGTAATTATAACCTCTCTACCTCCCTCCCCCCATCCAGGATGGTTCACGGAACCTCCCATTTTGAAAAATTTTGGAATCCTGCCATTCCCGAGTTGTGAATTTACTACTGGGGTGATAAGTCGCTCTCTTCTGAGGTACAAGCAAGTGTGACAAACAGACTCATTCTTAAAAATCCACCACGACCAGAGGAATGCAGGCAGAAAAACAAAAATATGACTTAATGATTAAAGATCATTTTGTGGGGTGCCTGGGTGGCTCAGTCAGTTAGGTGTCAACCTTCGGCTAAGGTCATGAGATAGAAACCTACATGGAGTCCCTGCTCAGTGGGGAGCTTGCTTCTTCCTTTCCCCCCTCCCCCACTGTTGCTCCTGCATGTGCTCGCACACTCAATCACTCTCAAATAAATAAAATCTTTTTTAAAAAATAATGTTGTAATGAGCACTGGTTATTATATAAGACTGATTTCAGCTCAGGTCATGATCCCAGAGTCTAAGATTGAGCCCCCATGGGGTTCCCTGCTCAGAGGGGAGCCTGCTTCTCCGGCTCCCTCTGCCCTTCCCCGGCTTATGCCTCTCTCTCTCAAATAAATAAAGAAAAAACTAAAAAAAAAAAAAAAAAAAAAAAAAAAACACAAAAACAAAAACTGATGAATCACAGACCTATACCCCTAAAACAAATAATACATGTTAATTTTTAAAAAGAAAGATCATTTATTACTCCTTGTATCTCCCTCCTCAGAATCCATGAGAATAGTATATCCTAAAGGCTTCAGAATTAGAAAGTGAGAACAGATCTATAATAAATATCTAGTCTTTTAAAAGACAGAATTCACAGAAACTGAAGTTACACATACACAGTTTATTTAGAAACTGAAGTTACACATACACAGTTTATTTTGGTACACACAACTCTGGAGAAATGTGTTTGTCTAAGCCTCTGAACTTCTTCTGTAATGGAAGCTTCTGGAAGACAGCCTGTAGGTAAGATATGGGTCCTCTACACACTCTTCCCAATGTCTGTCAGAAGTGACTTCCTCCTGGGGCCCTCCATACCAAGCCACGACTGGGCCACAACGGGGCCATGACTGGACCACGACAGGCCCATGAAAGGCCAGTGGCAAGGAGCTGAGCTATTGCCGGATGCGCAGGGTCACCCGGGGTGAAGAGTTGGAGCGAATGGAAGCTTCCGCACTCGGCCAGGCCACAGCATGACAACCTGGGCCTCCACGTCTCTGACTCGGGTTCAGGAGATACAGACTCCAGAACCGGTCTTCTACAGTGACGCTTTCGGCAGGCCGGGTGACAGCTTCTCGGAGACTCTAATAATACCTCCTTGAGAGGGTGATTCTGAGGATTACCTGGGCTCATGCATGAGAAAGAACCTAGTCACAGTGCCAGGCGCGGTAAAACAAAACAGCAAGGTGAGATAACCACTATGGCCCACAGGACCTGAAGCCAGTCTCTCAGGAAAGCTCGTCTACTGGCACCCTCAGAAGGTCAACCCGTGAAAACGCACATTCGGGAGATTTCAGCTGGAGCTTGAGATCTGCATTTCTACCAGGCTCCCAGGTGATGTCCTCTGCTGTGACATCACCTGGGACACCAAGTGATGACCACACTTCGAGGGGCCAAAGGTTAGGTGATCATTTAATCACTCATGCTTTAGAAACATGAAAATCAGTCGGGAAACTTCCCACATATTCTTAACGGATTTTGTGAACTACCTGGCTATTTTTGACCTTCCGGAAGTATCAATATCAAAATGAGGAAAAAATACATTTAAAACTGTTAAAAGAGGGTCGCCTGGCGGCTGAGTCAGTTAACTGCCTTCAGCTCGGGTAATGATCCCAGAGTCCTGGGATCGAGCACTGCATCCGGCTCCCTGCTCTGTGGGAAGCCTGCTTCTCCCTCTGCCTCTCTGTCTCTCATGAATAAATAAATAAATAATTTTTTTTTAAAATAAATAATTTTTTTTAAAAGATGTTAAAAGACATAGTTTAAACACTTATTATTTCTTCAATGAAAAAGCCCAACTTTTCAACATAGTCAGGATTCAGAGCACTGTAGAATATAGCTCAGCTTAAATAACACAGAAACCAATATTCAAGTTTTGGGTTTTTTGGTATTTTTTTTAAAGTTTTTGTTTATTATTTGAGAGAGAGAGAGAGAGAGAATGAGAGAGAGAGAGAGCATGAGAGGAGAGAGGTCAGCGAGAGAAACAAACTCCCTGTCAAGCAGGGAGCCTGATGTGGGGCTCGATCCCAGGACTCCAGGATCATGACCTGAGCTGAAGGCAGTCGTTTAACTAACCAACTGAGCCACCCAGGCGCCTTTTTTTTTTTTTTAAAGGTGAAAAAGCTACACAGAGATGAATGATACATGATAACCACCCCTTTTACCTTCCTCCAGATGTAGATCCAGAGAGACCCATGGTTGGCAAGCAGTAAAACACAAACAAAAAGAGAAAAAAAAAAAAAAACACAAAAAAAAATAAGAAAAACCATCTCCCCACATGGCCACTACAGTAACTGAGCTGGACCTCAGAGACGGTCAAAACCTAAACTCTCCTTCAGCAAGAGGCAGAGTATAGAAAATGTGACATTAGGAGAGTCAATAAGTTACTTCCTTGGTCCAAGAAATAACTAAAGGGACGAATTTCAAGTTCACGGCCTCGTTATCAACTTTTCTCAAAGGCCCTCAAATCAAATCCATGCCGATTTCCCATCACACACACGCCATGCCTCTTCATCCAAAAGGCATTTGACCCTGCTGGATCGACCCCTGGGACGTAGAGGGAAGGGGGATTCACCATGAACAGGGGGAGCCCAATCCATTTCCAGACTATTCTGTTAGGCAGGGCTTTCCGACATTAAACCGAATCTTGCCTGCCTAGAACAGGCAACCCTGTGCTTATCCTGCTTTTATAACCACACAGAGTGAATCTAATTCCTCTTGACGTGACAGCCCATCAAATGCTTGAAGAAAGTTAATCATATCCTTCCCAGACTGCCCACATGCCGTTAGTCCTTGGTGCCTTAATTATCCCTCCTGAGGCACAGCGTCCCATCTTGGCCACTGCCTCCCGCCCAGACTCGGGTGGCCGGTCTCAGTGAATGACTTGTGTCTGTGATTAAAGTCAACAGCCCAGGCCTCGTCTGATTACCTCGGGGTAGAGTCACAACACCATCACCCCTCTCCTGCACAGGACAGATAACCGATCATGAGACTGAGCACGACAGTCAGCTATGGTGGCCAGATCACGTTTTAGACTCACATGGAATGAAACCCACACTGCACAGCTAGATTTCAGGGAACAACTGGGCAATGTGTACAAACAACTTTAAGAACGTGTTCCTTACCACCCAGAAATTCTAGGGATGTATGCATCAAAGATCTTCGGTGTGGGTTATCTGGCAAGTGAGATGGAGGAACCCAATCATTTAGTCTGAAACAAAGTCTATAATGTATTGTGTGCAATTTTAATTGTTTTTTATCAATGATTTTTTCTAGAGTGACTATGTATTACTTTTGTAAGAAAGTAAAGTTGGGGGGTCACTGGGGTGGCTGAGTTGGTTAAGCCTCCAATTTTGGCTCAGATCATGATCTCAGGGTCGTAGGATCAAGCCCCGTGTCCGGCTCCATGTTCCACAGGTGGTGTGCTTGAGGATTCTCTCCCTCTGCCCGCCCCCTGCTTGTGTGCTCACTCATACTCTCTCTCTAATAAATAAAATCTTGAGAGAAAGAAAGAAAGAAAGAAAGAAAGAAAGAAAGAAAGAAAGAAAGAAAGAAAGAAAGAAAAGAAAGGAAGGAAGGAAGGAAGGAAGAAAGAAAGACGGACAGACGTGGAGAAGGGAATAAGGCTGGGAACAAAGGGGAGGCAGGGAGAGAGACAGAGAGAGACCTCATTTGGAGTCCACACCACCAGAGAACCAACCAGGGTCTCCTAACTGCTCTGTCCACAAGACAGGGTTCCAGGAAAGAGGTCATCAAACTTCTGGTCAAAATACAAATCTGTAAGCGATCTTACTTTAAGAACAGGGTCTACCGTCTGAGCTGGAGTCAATCACCTGTCAATAGAATTCTGACGCGTCTCTCATCCGTAGGATTCTTCCACTTCCTTAAAATAAACTATAACGTGAAACTTGGAAGCTCCCATGTCTAGTGTAGACCCTATGCTTTTTCTTTTTTAAACAAAAAAGGAGGTATGTTTACATATCATCAAATATTGAAGTATATTTTTATTGAGGCAAATACTTTGTATCTTGTAATATTCACCCCATTTCAAGTGGTATAACCATCACCAAAAATCAGTGTTAGGACATTTTTGTTCCCCCAGTAAGATGCCTCATGTCGTTTATAGTGACTTCCTGTTCCCACTCTTAGTTAGCCTCAGGCAACCACTGATCTACTTTCTTTGCCCTTTTGGGGACATTTCATTAAAAAGGAATCAAATGGTACGTGGTCTCTCATGTCTGAATTCTTTCATTTAGTCCAGCATTTCCGAGGTCCATCTATGCTACAGTGTATCAGTAATTCCTTCCTTCTGAG